GCGACCGATCAGCTAGGCGGTGGCCTGTTGCTGGTGGTGGGGAAGAGAGTGAAGTCAACCCTCAGCGCATTTTACTATAAACAAACTGATACACTTGCAGCTATCACAAAGTGCTAAAAGTCGTGGCTTGGAGGGTTGCCAACTGATGGGATAACTCGGACACCGCAGTCATCCCAGTGTGTGTTTTGTTGTGTGGAGTGGCTAACTGCGGGCTGAGGGTCCGGCTCAATGATTCCTTCTTGATGTGGCCTTTATGGCGCTTCCAGTCGGGAGCCCACCTAGCGAGGCGTGCTGTTGATATGCGTGTTGAGTGTTGGTCGCGCCAGCTGCCTGTCTTCCAGTCTTCTTGACATAGGGTCCGGTGTGGGAGTAGTGAGAGAGTGGGGTAGATTCTCCTTGAGTCTACCTTAAATATAATCCCGAGGGAGTCACCGCGTTGCTCCAGCCTGCTGAAGCACGTGGTGGACATCGTCAAAATCGACGGTCGGACTGTCGTGCATATTTTGCCTGGTTTGTCCTAGCTTGCTTTGCTGGTATTCCAATAAAAATAAAGCATAATAGAGGAGTAATAAAATGACCATTTAAGGAAGTTGATTGATAATCACAATAAACGCTCGCCCTTGGCCACTGCTATCAGCATACTGGCGCCTTCCTGTCCTTCTGTTCCCTCTGCCCGTTTAAAATGCCTCACTGCTGACAGAGTCCTAACTACTTTAAAACTTTTTTTTATTCTGATAGGTCGGCGAGTCTGTCTTTTTCAACTCTGTTCTGGCACCCAAGGGCTCGCGAGCAAAGTGGCATGCGACACAGGTTTGGAAGGAGACGGACTGTGCCGCTGTGAGACTTAACAGCTGCAGGACCTCTGCAAATCAGACTTCCAGCCTGACCACCTCTTGCGGCGAAAAGACACAGAAGCTGCGGGCAAGAAATGAGGAAAAGAAGGCGGCAGGCTCAGACAATTCCCTCTCCAGCCTAGCCAGCCTCAGCGACAGTTTGGGGGATTCGGATTCCGGTGTCCAGGAGAATGCGCCCACCAGATCTGTGCGGAGGAAACAGGCCTGGCGACAGCCACAGCCCTCAGCGCAGGATAAAGACACGAATGATCATGGTGGTGC